TCCTCAGCGGTCATGGGAAGCAGGGGACACTGACAGCCTGGCGAGCTGAGGGGTCCGGGTGACGGTGCCGCTTGGACTCCTGGGTTCCCGTCTGGGGCAGAAGGGGGCCGGTCAGGACCTGCTGCCGCCCGGTTAGGGCTGGACTGGGGCAGCTCGAAGCAGTGTTGCTTTCTCGGTGTTGATAAACACACCGTGGTTTGTGGGGCAGGGAGCTGGGGAGGGTCATGCATAACCCTAAAATGATTTAGAAGTGAAAAGTTTATTTTTTAGAGTGAAAAATACACGAGGCACAGGGAGGGAAGTCAAGGGGCCCCGATCATACCCGCAGAGCCCTGTGTCGTAGGTTGGATGTGCTCTGTCCACCCAAAGGCTCATAAGCTAGAAACGTGGCCCCAAGATGGTGGTGTTGGGGTGGTGGTCTAAAGGGTCGGGGACTGGTAGAGGTGATCAGGCCACAGGAGGCCAAACACCTCCCGATTTTGGAATTTCAGCCTCCAAAAGCTGGACTCTAAAAACCCCTGTCACTTTGTAGAGCACGCAGCCTCCAGTCCTTGTTTGGACTCAGACACCATCGGCCATGGTCATGGCCCCAGATGTGTGAGGAGTTCACCTGGAGCACACGCTGACCTATACTCCATGTGTGGAACTTTGAGCCCTCACTGTGTCCCTCAGGCTCTTGCCCACTCTGACCCCCTAAGCTGGCCTTTGTTCTGGTTCTTGGAGGGACTCAGCCAGCTCCTACCCCAGGGCCTTGGCACCTGCCAGCTCCTTGCCAGCCCCTGCTCTCTCCCTGCCCTCAGCAGGGAGCATTACTGATGCTCTCTTACTCACCCGGAGTCCTTCTCACAGTGTCCCTTCAGCTGCCCCTGTGGTCACAGAGCAGTGTGCCTATTGCTTGGTGCAGCTATCCTTAGTACCCGCACTGGTCACCTCGCTAGGAAGCCCACACTCGACAGGCAGAGACCTGTCACCCTGCTGTCACCCTGCTCACGATGTCGCTGCCCCTAGCAGAGAGCCTGACCCAGGCAGACCAGACACTGCACCTCCTCAGCTCTTGCCAAGGACGAGGAGTTCAGCATTTGGCGACACACCTGGTCTCCGGCTTCCTGTCTCCGCTAATCCATGTCCCCTTAGCTAAGTAGGCACAAAGGAAATGCTGTGTCCCATTGTGACTGTTACCGAGGGGCCGCCCAGGAAGGTGTTTCCACGGCAGCTGTGACTCACACGGGAGCCGTGCCCGAGCATCGGTATGGAGCACAAGCTGGCCGGGCCTCTGCTGGGGCAGGAACCACCCACCCGGCTCTGTGCTCAGAATTCTTCACTCCGCCTTTGAATTCTGCCTTGTGAGTGAGACAGTGACCCCATCCGAGCTGGGGGTTCTGGAACCTCCTGGACCACCCACTTCCTGCCCTGGCTATGGGGGGCTGAGCACATGGCCCAGGGGTGAGCACTCACCCAGGGCTGGGCTCCATCCCCAGCACCGCAACATGATGACAAGGACACTTCCACACCCAGCGCCCTAAGGCGGCACCTGCAAAGTGACAGCGACCCCAGCGGCAGCCTCAGAGGGGTCCTGCTCTGTGCGGGAGCCCTGCAGACTCACGCTGACCCCAAGACTGATAGGAGCTCTAGGCCCCAGGCAGCTGGCTGTGGGCACCCCTGAGGCCCTGGTGGCGGCCAGTGTGGGCACAGGAGAGCGTCATGGAGGGGCTGGCACCTCGTGTCTCCACGGCTAGGCCTGCTGCCGCTACACACCTCCCTGGGCGGCCTCCAGGGACTCCTCCTCCAGGCCATTTGCCCACCAGGCCACTGGACATTTCCCTCTGTGAGTGGGTGGGTGGGTGGGTAGACGGATGGATTGCTCATTAGATGGGTGGGAAGGTGGGTGGGTAGATGGGTGGGTGGATGGCTTGTTAAACAGGTGGGTAAGTGGATGGGTGGTGGATGGATGGATAATTTGATGGGTGGGTAGGTGGATGGGTGGACAGCCTGGCAGGTGGGCAGGCAAATGGGCGGATGGGTGAATGGAGAGATGGGGGGACAAACAGATGGGATTACAGAAGAATGGATCAATGAATAGATGAGTGAACAAATGTCTGGCTGGATGGACAGACAGACAGATGGATATACATGGCAGACATCTTGTAGCTTGGGGGGCTTTTAGACTGAAGTCATTGCCCACCGGTGCACTTCTCAGGCAGTGCCTGGCCCTTTGGACTTCCCATGGCTGTGTTGGACACGTCACCTCTAGGGACAGTCCAGAGCTAAGGCCATCTCGGGTCATCCGCTTTGGGAAATCAGACAGTCAAGGTCTCTGGACACAGCAGGGCACACCCCTGCCTGTGCCACCAGCCCTGTCACCCCTCCACCCACAGACAGGTGCTGCAGGCACGGGGTGACATCGTGGACACAGCTCTGCCCGGGACCCAGGGCTGCTCCACCTCAGCACACCCGGGACAGGCAAGGACGCCCAGAGGAAGACGCGCCAGGCCGACTTCACTCCCTTTGTACAAAGACTTTATTGTCTGACATGCTTGACAAAAAAAAATTACAGCCACAATCAAGTTATGCCAAAATGATTGAGGGGCATTCCCGCCATCTTTCATAGCTCAAGGACTTTTAATGAATTTTCTCTTAAAGTAACAGCTGCCTTCATAACTTTCTTTTCCACATAAAAATACACCATATTCTGAAGATACCTTAGGAAAAACATTTTATTCTTTAAAGTTTATAGTTCTCGGTCCGCATAGAAATTGAGCAGAGGCAAGTCGAACAGTCCTGTGTTTTCTCTTCTCTCCCCATTACTCAGGGCAGGTCCTAATCCCCTTAGGGACTCTGTCAAGTCCCCTGGCTAACCCAAGTGACTTCAGCCACAGGGGGCCCGCCCAAGGCCACAGGGGACTCCGCCCAACACGGTGCTCCTGAACGCCTGACCCAGCTCTCTGTCAAGCTGGGAAGAAATTCCAGCCCTAGGATGCTGGGCTCAGAGTTCAGGATTTTCTGGCGTTTGAGGAACCACGGCTGCTTTTGAACAGCATCCTCCAAAAATAAAACCAAAAGAGCCCTGGATCCATGCGTGTCCTGCTCTGCGGGTAGCGAACTCTGGGTAGTGGCAAAATGAGGGCTCCTCTGAAGCCGGAGACTGAAGTTCAAATCCTGCCTCCGCCCCTTCCGGGCCGCTGCCTCCAGACAAGTTACCACGCCTCTCTGGCCTTCCTGGCCTCATCTGTAAAATGGGGACAACACTCCCAGCCTCGCAGGACTGTCTCAGCATGAAAGGAGATGATAAAGGACCCACGGAAGGCTGCTTCCCGGGGCAGCAAAGCGCTCCTCCTTAGCCAGGTGGGGGTGGGGGTGGAAAACACAGACAGAAGACAATTGCAACATATTGTTAAAATCAAAACGAATGTAAAAATAATTCATGACAAGCAAAATATCAACATCTTAAATAAAGACAGGCTCTGCCCCTGCTCAGCCTGCCCTCGCCTGGCCCGGATGGTTCCTGCTCCCTGGAGATCCGACCCCCAGCGCAGCCCCTGAAAGGGAGCCGGCCAGGGTGCTGCTGCAGGAGCTCAGGACCCACCTGTGCCGGCAGCCGCGAGAGGGTCAGCAGTGGGGGACACATGTGGACTCGTTTGGGGGGGTGTGCACGCAGCTGACCCACAAACCCTCTGGGCTGCTGTGATTTGCAGAGCTGAGCAGTCCCGTTGGACCAAGCCCTGTTCCACCATGACTCGGAGCCCTCCAGCAGACTCTCGACATGAAGACAGCTCTCACCCTGTGGAACCAACTCCCCCCACATCCAGGCTCTGAGCACAGCCCGGGACGCTCAGGCCACTGTCACATCAGCAAGGGTACCCACAGGAAGATAAAGGGGAACTGCAAGGCCACCTCTGTGGGGCCTCCCAGGTGCAGCCCCAATTCCTGAGATGTCCCCAACACTCCCTCAGAGGCCTAGGCCACAGCCACGTCGGCCTCCTCCGGCCTGGCAGGAGAGGAAAGGCTGCCCGGCCCCGGCTCCAAAACTCCCAGCATCCCCGATCCTGGGGCTCGCAGCCACACACCTCTGGGACAGAGGGACATTTGTGCAACCATCTCCAGAGCTCGTCCAAGTGCTGCAGCTTCCCCAAACGAGGGTGCCCAGCAGAGCGGGGTGACCAGTCAGGTGATCCCCAAGCAAGATGGGCCATGAGCCCGAGTGAGGTCCTCCTGGAGGTCCAGGCAAAAACAGTAAAGAGCACACGCCCGACTGGGGCCACGCAGGGTCCCGATGACAGGTGACAGAGGCTGAAGTCAAAGGGGGTTGACTTCCTTCATTCCCAGGCCGTGACCCGTCCAGGGGCTGGTCTCCACGGCCGGCCAGCAGGGGTGTCTAGGTCATTCTGCGTGGACAGGAGCGTGGCAGGGGATCAGTGCTCGGCCAGGTGACACGGCTGATGCAGGTAGGCGGGGCTGGGCAGCAGGGGACAGTCAGGAGTTCCGGGGTGTGGGCAAGTCGATGACTATGGGCGGGTTCACGGGCTGGTAGTTCACAGTGCACACCGACGCGTTCACGTACGTGGTCGTCCCATCCGCCATGACACCGTAGCCTGGAAAATGAACAGACGCCAGTCAGGCCATGATCAAGCAGCTCGGCCGTGGCGGCTGTAGAAGCCCGAGGACGCTGGGTCTCACGGGGCTGACACATCTGTGCCATGGAACTGGTCAGGACAGCGCTCCCAAGCCTGCTGCAGCAGACAGGGGGTCGTCACCCAGCAAGTCCTCCGGCCAGTGCCCGGCACGTGGGACACACTCAGCACCCCATCACCTCTGCCATCGTTTCTGTCACCATGACCATCACCGTCTCCACAGCACCACGACTGCTCACCTCACACCTCCTCATCGCCATCCCTCCACATCAGCACAACCAGCATTACATCACTCTGTGTCACCACCAGCCCACCCCCATGGTCACCTCCATCACCGCTGCCGCCACCTGACCGTCACAGCCAGCATCTCCATCACCACCACCAGCATCTCCTTCCTCCGTACACCATCTGCACCATGACCATCACCATCATGACCATCATGACCACGCCCATCTCCATAATCCCCATCACTTTCTATAACGTCACGATGGCCGTCACCACTGTCCCATCATCGTCTCGTTGTCATAATCACCATCACTGCCACTGTCCCAGCCTTCTCTTCCCCGTCACACCCGCCTCCTACCGCCTCGACTTCCCGAGTCCTTGTCCTTCAGCTCAGATCTCTTCCAAGCAGGAAAGGACACTGTCCCCAGTGTTTGGAGCCCACCACGCCCGCTCAGTTGTGCCGGATGTGGTTTGGGTCACCGAGCCTCAGAGCTGAGGGCCTCTGGAAACACCGGCCCCACTGCTAGCCCACACCGAAGGCCTGGCCCTTCAGTTCTCGGATTCGGCCTTAGATTGCCTGCCTGCTGCCCAGGGGCAGGTGTGGCCTGCTCCCCGCTGCCCGCCGAGAACTTGCTGCAGAGACCCTGGGGCCGTCTGAGGCCCGTCTGCTTCTGCACTGGGAAACCACATGGTGTGTGGGGACCAGGCACACGCAGAGGCCCAGCAGCCCTGGTCCATCTTCAGACAGTGTCAGCGGGTCCAGAAATAGCCCTGGGAGAACCACAGTGGCCCTCACACCCCGGAGGCCCCCGAGGCTTCCTGGTGGGAGGCCCTGGACAGGCAGGGAAAATGCCCAAAGGGGGCAAAAGAAAGCCCATGAGCCCCTGGCGCGCTCAGCTCTGGGGAGGAGGCCGGAGCTCTGACAGCAGAGGCCATGTTCCGCAGCAGGCAGGGCAGGGCCGGGCAGGACCAGGGCGGGAGTCGCCTCCGGGCCTCTCACTGCAGCGCCCCTGCTGACCAGGACGATGACCCTCGCCACGCCCGAGTCGTGGCGCCAGCCCCCAGGACGGAGGCCTCTCAGGCAGGCTGGCAGGTCCCGTGCACTTACTGAGCACCTGCTACCCGCCAGGCCGGGGATGAAAGGGATGGGTCGGGGCCACCAGCCTGGAGGAAGTCACAGTGTGCCCCCTCCACCCGACGACCTAAACACCCCTCCTCTGAAAACCCCCGGCATCTCCCAAAGGCTTCCCAGACTAGCAGCAAGGCAGAGCTGCAGGGCTCGGGGGAGCGACATCCCCAGTCCACAGGACTTTGTGTCCACCCTCCTGTCGCATTCAGGCTGGACATGGTCCACTGACAGCGTGTGTGGGTGACAGTCACAAGGCCAACAGCGCAAGTGGGCTCTTCCGCTTCCGGCGGAAGAACTCGGGGGAGAAGCCCGGGGATGACGGGAGGCCGGCACCCCTGCAAGCCCAGCCAGGAGCCCCCAGCACAGGATGTCCCCTCTGCTCCCCTCCACTACTGACCTTCGTGGATGTGGCCGAAGACGTGCAGCCGTGGCTGCACACGTCTCTGCACCGTGTTGAGCAGCTCCACGCAGCCCACCCGCTGCATCTTCTTGGGGACCCAGTCCAGGAAGCCTGCGTAGGAAGACAGGGGGGCAGTGATGGGCAGGGAGGGCCAGGAGAGGTGCTGGACGCCCGCCAGTGCCCCCGACCACTGCCGCCCAGGGAGCTCGAGGGCAGCAGCTGCCCACTGCAGAGATGAGCAGACTGAGCCCCGAGGGCACCACAGTGGCCGGCCAGCCGGGGCACGGCCTCCGCCTTCCCAGAGACTCCTAACGGCACGGGGGGACCAGGACAGCGCACGCCCGGTCCCCACAGCACAGCACGCCCAGCTCACGTGGCCGCGCTGTCTGCTCGGCAGCCAGCCTCCCCCGGCCGCCCAGATGGCGGCTGCTTATTATCCTCACATGGCTACACAAACGGGGAAAACTGATTACTCGGAGCGGACAGTGAGGGTGCTGGGCCCCGCTCTGTTTGGGTGGGCGACACGGGTTTCTACAACTGCGGGAAGGGGGCAGGGAGCTTTGGCTCACAGAGCCAGGCTGCTGGAGCCAGGGATGAAAGATGTGTGAGGGACATAGCCAGAGCGGGGAAGGAGCGAGGCAGAGGGACAGGGGACCATGGGAGAAGGAAGGCAGGCGGAGGAGAGACTCGGGAAACAGGCAGGAGCAGGCGTGGGGCGAACACGGGTTCAAATCCCAGACTCTGCTGCCTGCCAGCTGTGTGACCCTGAACAAGTGAATTAACCTCTCTGAGCCCCACCTGCGTCCAGCAATTAGCTTTGCTGCCCAGGCACTGGGACCCACGTATATAAGGCTGGGCATCCTCAATCCGCGGTGTGTGCCAGGGCTGGAGGGTGGGGCTCCAGGGCCTCAGCCCGCTGTCACTCACAGCACCCAGGCAGAGCTCTCCTGGAACGCCTGGCACACACAGGCATCCCCAACACGGGCTGTGGGGTCTGTGTGATGGGTGGGGGTGGACAGATGAATAGACAGATGGACGGGTGGGGGTGAGTGGACCGATGCATGGGCCGGCAGCTGGATGGGAGGTGCGGAAGTGGATGGGCGGATGGAGGGACGGGGGTGGACGGGGAGACGGGGAGACAGATGAGGTGGTAAGTGGGAGGTGGAAATGAGGGGGGCAAGAAGGCCAAGGAAAGAAGGGGGAGGGAGGCGGAAGTGGACAGCGAGCGGCAGGACGGAGGTGAAGCCCGCTGCCCGCAGAGCCTCACTGTGAGCTGCTGGCTCAGGGCACTCGGGCACGCAGCCTGGGGCAGCGGGCTTACCCAGCGGCGGTCCGTGGGTGATCAGGACGTCCACGCCCTCGGGAATGAGGTTCCACTTCTCCAGCAGGGCCTGGCCTCGCGGCAGGTTGAAGCCCCAGCCGTAGAACCAGGGCTGCCTAGGGAGGAAGAGCGTGAGCTTCAGCGAGAGCCCGAAGCGTGGGCTGGGCACGGGAAGGGGACAGGCCACGGCAGGAGCGCCGGGACCAGCTCAGCACCGGAAACAGCCGCGGCAGGGGCGGAGACACGCCAGGACACCGGCCAGCCAGAAGGAAGCAGAGCCTGCACTGAGGAGGACGAACTCCGGAGGAGGACGCTCACTGCTGTCCCGAGAGCCCCGGCCAGGCAGCCCAGACAGGCTGGCGCCACTCCAGCCTCCGGCCCCCAGCCCCACTGACCCAGCCTCTCCCCTCCGTGAGGTCCTGGAGAGCAGGGGACCTAGATTCATCCCGTTAGAGGGAACCCGGAAAGAAGACACCATCATCCCTGTGTATACATCAGCTGGGAGCTGTCACGGGTACTAAGCTGTCCCGGGGCAGACAGCTGGATCAAACCACACCAGACGCCCGCCAGGGGCTGGGGCAGGGCTTGGCGGTAGAGCACATGCCTGGCATGTGTGAGGCCCTGGACTCAACCTCTAGCATGAAAGGGAGACAGACAGACAGACAGACAGACACAGAGAGAGAGGATAAGGGAAGAGGAGGGAGGGGGGAGTAAAGCACGCCACCCGGACGTGGTTTTCAGTCACTTGCAACGAAAGCGTGCTGGTGAGGGCCTGAGATGCACCCTTCGGGCTAAATGACTGTGAGCGTCCACATGGACTCTAGGGTCAGGGCCCTTGCCATCACTGTCTCCACCTCCTTGACCTCCTCACCACCAACACAGAAGCCCTCCCGTGGGAGCAGCAAGCAGACACCTCTGCAGACCAAGACGCCAAGTGCCAGCGCGTCTCCAGCCTCCGCGCCGCGAGAACTCAGTTTTCTTAGCGCAGCCAAATCACCACCACCACCGCTGTTACGTGACCATCACCACCATCATGGGCCCAACCGCGCCCCTGAAAAGGCACTTGGCCAAACTCTGGTCCTGTGAATGTGGCTTCGTTAGAAATGGGGCCCCCACCACCCCACCACAGACACAGTAAGCCAAAGTAGGTCAGGCTGGGGGATGGTGGGCCCTACATCCAGTGGTCAGTGTCCTTCCTAGAACCATGTGGAAACGGAGACCCGGGCTGTAGAGGTTCAGCATGCGCAAGGCAGGGAGGGACAGAGAGACTGGATGAAGCTTCTAGAAGCCAAGGCATGCTGGGGAGGACTCCAGGCAGCCTCTGGGAGCCAGGAGAGGCCTGGAGAGATTCTCCTTCAGACTGCTGGGCTGCAGAACCACGGTGAACACATTTCCCTTGGTGGTGATGGCTGTTACGCAGCCCTGCACACTGATACAATCACCATCAGGGTCAGTGCCACCTCAGGACTCCACCCCCGCAGCCAGGCAGGCCGGGCAGGTCTCCTTTGTTCTATGGATGAGGCAGCTGAGGACCCAGGACACTGTCTCCAGCAGGCCCCACACAGCTCCTTCTGTGCCAGGCCCTGTCCTAGTACATGAGGGGGGGTCACAAGCACCCCATGAATTAAAGGCTTGAGTTTTCAGATGAGGAGCCCGAGACTCTCAGAGATGAGCCGGTGCTGGGATTTGGCCACCTTGTGACTGCTTCCTGCCTGTGCACACACTATGCCTGAGGGTGTGGTCAGGCCCCTCCTGTGCCCAGAGCTGCCCCCTAAGTCCCACGGCCCACTCTGCTAACCCAAATGTCTCTGCCACCCAACCCGCCTGTGGGGAACCCCCCGGGGGTTCCATGGAACACCCTTTGAGAACCATGAGGGAATCAGAGGAGCCCAGGGTGACGTGAAGGGTCCACGGAGACATCATCAAACCCAGACGATGCTCTCTGCCCTCACCATCGGGCCGGTGGTTCATCTCCTGGGATTGGGGCTCACAGAGCAGCACAAGCAAGGCACACTGGTCACTGCTCGGGGGCAGAAGTCCCTGTGCTGTCTTAGCCACCGGCCAGGGAAGGGCAGACAAACGCTGGACGAGGGGTGGGGACAGGCCCTGGACTCCCGGACGGCCCGGTGTGAGGCCACATGACTCAGGCTTTAATGCTGAAGCAGTCCCCACCGTCTGAAGACCCCGAAGCCCCCAAGAATGGACGGCAGGCGGCACAGCACTGAGCACCGTCCCCCAAGCCCGACACCCAAGTGCTCGGCCACCGTCACCATCACCACAGTCTCCAGGCTGACGCTGGGTGACAAAGCCTTGGCCCAGGGCAGGGGTTTCACCCTGCATTTTGATGGGGAGCGGCACCATCTCTCGGGCAGCTCGGCTCTGGACCCCAGAAGCTGTCTGTCCCGTCACACACCATGGAGACTGAGCACCCCAAAGCCCCCCGGGGCCCTCTCGGGAGCTCCGGCCCAGGCAGCCTACCGGGAAGGAGCAGCACATTTCTGGCGCTGGCTTCCAAACACAGGCTCCGGTTTTCAAAATTCTAATCAAATATTTACCAGACGGGACACCACCTCCCCAGTGCGGGGAGAAGGTGGGGGTTAGTGCTCCCGAGGCTCCGCAGGGCTGGTATTTGGGGAGACTCAGAAACACGTCAGAGGTCCCGTGTACCCCCAGAAGCCAACCCCAGGGAACCCCTGACTGTCCCGGCTTCATATTGCCCACAGCTCCATGGAGCCGTGCCCTGGGGTGACAATGTCCTGCCCGCTTCTTGGAAACACAGGACCTGGAATCCTGGGCGGCTGGACTCAAGCCACCGCTGGGGAGGCCCAGAGAGGTCGTTCTGCCTCCCAGGATTGCACAGCAGTGGACGGCAGAGTGGGTGGAGACACAGAGCGGTCCCCACTGTCCCTCCCACATCCCCATGTCCACCCTACCCATCGATGGGGCCATGAGAACACCCCAAAGGTACAGGCACACTGGTCACATTGTCTGCAGGTCCTGTCTGGTGGCCTCACCTCCTGGAGGGCCAGGGACCACTGTGCCCCCATCTGATGGGCAGAGAGGACGCTACAGCTGACATCAGACGGCCTGGTCCTTCCCTTCCCAGCCTCATCAGACGGGAAGAGGAGGGCACTGTCTGCAGACCATGCCGCTCAGGGCAGGGAGGACCTGGCTTGCTGGCCGCTGTACCCCACGGCTGGACACAGGGGAGGTGGGGACAGCCAGAGAGCCTGAGGCTGGACCCCTCTCTGTGACCACGATCTGAACACTGAACCCCTCGCTGCAAGGGGTGCTCAGCAGGAAGAGGCGACTCCCGCAGCGGGGCTCCCAGAAAGCAGCCCTGAGCCAGCCCCAGGCGAGTGCTCTGCAGAGGGCGGGCAGGAGTGGGAGGTGGCCTGCAGGCAGGGTTCTCTCCAGGGCCACCTCACTCCCCACGCCTCTGAGCAGCCCCCTGGGGCTGGACAATCTCTGTCTGGTGCTCAAGGGCCAGGAGACAGGGGTGACACTGGGGCTGCGTCCTCTCAGCCACTGCTGGACGATGAAATGTCCCCTCCATGTCCCACGAGGCCCGGGATCATCTCTGGGACAGGACACAGGGGCTCCCAGGGGCCTGCCAGCCAAGCGGCCACCACCTGTGGTCTGAGAACTCTGCACCTCTGCGCCTTGAAGCTGGGTGCCCGGGAGCATTGTCACCGCACCCCAGGGCCGGGCTGCCAGGCCACGCCTCCTCTGTCCACCCACCTCCCCCGCCACCATGGCGCTGGGCACCTCTCGCCCCAAGGAGGATGACTCAGAATTCCGCCTGAGCACGGGACGCGGCTTTATGTCCTGAATCTCTGTCTTTCTGTTCTAAAGTAACCATTGGAATAATTTTCTTACAGAATGATAGTTGCCATGACAACCGGAGCAAATTTTCCTTTTCTGAAACAGATGTCTCATTTAGTTGAAAATTAGAATGTGAACAAACCCATGGGAAAAATTAATTCAAACTTTAACAGAGCGCTGAACACAACGTGAGTGCTCAGAGGTTAACCCCTTAACAGCCTCTCTGTGCGCGGTGGAAGCCTTCCCGAGCCAGCTCATTAAGCCCGCTTAGCCAATATCAATGACCTCCTCACCGCCAGTCATTTGGGGCTCCCCCGCAGCGTGGATCCCGGCTTCTCTCACCGCAGCGGGGTGGGGGACGCTCACAGACAGCAAATGGCGAAAGCAGGGCTGGCCGGCCTGGGGCGCCGTCTCCACAGGATGGCGTGTGGCCCCTTGTTTAAGGAGCCTGGGCCCAGCCACCCTGCCTGTCTGCTCATTTACCTGCCATCTTGGGGTCTAGGGCCGTGGTGGGGTCAGCCCGGTGGGGACTTGGGGCCAGGCAGGGTGCAAGCCCTTAGAGGGGACCCTACATGGGAGACCGAGGGGACTCGGGAGGGGCCCCACACGAACACAGCTCCGAAGACCTCTCCAAGAGCAGCCGGGCTCGACCCTCACGCCCATCCCTGCCCAGCCGTCCCCGCTGGACAGCTGCAGATGAGGCCAGGAGAGCAACCAAGAGACACGGCCAAGGCTCGGACCCAGAATGCTGGTTCCAGGGCCGGCACCCTTCACTGCCCTCCCAGATTACAAAAATCCGAGCAGGAGATGGAGCTCTGTGCTTCTCAGCAGAGCCCCGCAGGCAGCTGTGGCCATGTGCAGCCGCTCAGGAGGCCCCGCCTCGGACCCGGGCTCCAGGCTCCTGCATCCGGGGCCGACCCAGTGGTGGATGGGGGAGGACCCTGGGGCGGACAGCACAGGTGCCCGTCTCAGTGGTGGCCTCCGGCCGGTCCTAGGCAGCCCACCTTGCAGACCATCCTGCTCCGACTCCCTGCTAAGTTCGCCAGAGGGCTGCACAGTGACCTTCCGTCTCCTGGGCATGGCCAGCCCTGTCCTCCCCTGAGTGCTTCCCCTGGCCTCTCCCCGTGGTCCATGACCCTTTATTCACTAAGGCCTGCCCTCTTCCTGCAACGTCCCCTGATCATGTCTCTCCCACAAGCACAGGCAGCCACTCCCCACCCCGAGTGCCCTGTGATGACCCCTCCAGGACAGACCCGGGGCGGATCTGCCCGTGAGTCCCTCAGGCCCCAGA